GAGACAAAAATAGCTTCACCTACCTGGTGATATTCTCATTGTTGAGTTAGGTAGTGGGTACAAAGGTGTTTATTTTATTATAATGCTTTATAATATATTTTAATTTTTATATACTTTTATGTATAACAGAGTACATTTTAAAACATGTTAAAAACTAAGAAATAAATAGGAAATGAGAAAGTGGAGAAAATGGGCTTTGGCTACTTTTTCAAGGTATCTGATCCCAAGGGAAGGAAAGAGGGACATGGTATCACCAGGTAGCATGGTTACGGGGAGATTGATGGATTAATTAATTGAGTAGGAAAAGATCTGAATCTGCTTATGGAATTATGGACTAGACTTACTGATTCAATATAGGATAGTTCTGCCCTAATGAGATATCTGCCAATGTCTGGGGACATTTTTGGTTGTAATGATTGGAGGGTCAGGGGTGAGATGGTACTGGCATCTACTGAGTAGAGACGAAAAATGCTGCTACGTATCCTACAATGCACAGGACAGTCCCACCCCCAACAAAGAATCAACCATAGTTTCAGTAGTGCAGATGTTGAGAAACCTGGGGTTAGAGAAAGCAAAGCAGTAAAGATTAAGAATGTAAGAGAGGGAAGGTCTGAGACAAGACAGAAGGAGAACTTAGCCCAGGAGGAGACACACCACTCGTTAGAACCTGGAGAGTATGAGATAATTGACCTTCGTTCTTAAATTCACTCCTTTAAACAGAGTGCCTATGAAAGACCTCACTGTAACTCTTGCTCCTACTGAAAACAAACACAAATGGCCAATTTAGAGTTTCATTGCTAACCATTCTGTGGAAACAGGCAGGAAAGTACAAATTAACAAATGCAGGTAGAGTGAAGTTACCTCAGAGCTAACGAAGCTTAAGCCTCAGGGCTCTTTGCTGGCACCTGCCCCTTCCATGGCCCTGGAAGGGGCCTTAGGAATTTTCAGATTTATGAATTTGAATTAATTATATTTCTTGAAGTGGTCCTCCAAATAACATAAGCTTCAGATCCTACAAAATGAGGATTTACCCTTGAGTGCAGGAAAGTTATTAAACTTAATAGTTTTTATAGCTGCTTTCCTTGACATCTTTGCTAGATGGCACCCTGTAGATTCAATGGTCATATACTACTTTATTTTGTTCCCTAAGATGCAGTTCATAAAACAGCATCACACTCCAAGTCTCCTGCCCTTATATAGTTTTCACAGGTTATTTCCTCCATAAAAGCCAGTTTTTCTAGTATTAAAGTCCTGAGGGTACAATTAGGCCAAAACAATAAATGAGAATAAGTAAGCAATTCAATTTCCCCTACTCTGAAGGGGAATCAACATTAGAGTAGGAAGCTGCTATCTGCTCCAAGTTCCACATAGGCGTCAGGAGCTCAGGAAAATTGTTACCTGATTTGGTGCACATAAGAGTTAACTAGGAAGCTTGTAACAAATGTGAATTCCTGGGCCCTACTCCAGTGAGAATCACAGGATCCTGGTTTAAGTAAGAAAATTTAAGAACAACTTTCTTTGTTCAAAGATACTTAATCTTCTGGGGTGCCAGATCCCTTGGGGGATCTTTTAATATCAATATACTCACAATTTTCGTATAATTTCTTGGCATTTATGGGGCTCCAAGAGGATTGATATATGGCCCCGATATTTATGGTCCATAGATTAGTTAGTTCTTCACAGAAAAATCAGAGTTGAGCTTACTGAGAGAAAAAGAAGAGAGTCATGTTGGGAACACCCAGAGTTAGGGCTAACTAAAGTCAGAAAAAGATCAGTCAAGAAATGAAAGAGAAACTCACTGAATTTGACCAAAAGGACAATGTCATTGACTGTCCTAGAGATAGCTCTTGAGTTGAGGCAGCAATTATCACAATCATTGAATAGGTCCTGGCAGTTATCAGGACTGGGGATAGATAGGATTTAAAAACACATGTGTACAAATACATACATACGCATTTATATGTGTGTGTGTATATATATACACACACATATATACACATATATGTTTGTATATGTGTATTTGTAATATACATTATACATTAAAATGCATTTGCATGTGTGTATACACACATATACATATATATAAACAGTTATGTAAAGAGAGAGATCAATCTGCATATGTTTGAAGTCAAAAGAGAACTACAGAGAAAAATAAAATTAAAGATGTAGAAAGAGAAGATTTAGGGTGAAATATATTTTTTTCCACTCCATCCTGCAACTACAAAATGATAGCAAACAGATTAAAAAGGCATAATCCAAAAAGCACAAATAGAACTTGAGCGGAGATGCCAAAGAAAGATCAGCAACATTTTAGAGGTTTTAAATCATATAGACAATTGTTCACTGGCTTTGCACACTAGAAAAAGCAAAAATCCACTTGCACTTGCCTGCGAGGTAAGACGAGTCAATAAGCAAGCTGATTCATGAAACAGAACTTCAAAAATTTGCAAGAATTAGAAGCTTAGGGTCCCTATAAATGTGGCAGCAGGGGTGGGTGTGGGTGAAATCAAGAGAAATGATTCAAAGTCTGTATAATGAGCAGTAAGGACAGACAATCTGAGAAAAACCCTATAAAATGTAAAACAGTGTCCAAAAGATAGCAACAACAAATAAGGCAGAGTAAAACAGGAACAAGAATAAAGAAACTACAAGGATTAGAGAAAAAGTCCAACACAACTGTAAATAATATACCAAACAGGATAAGGGATGGTACTGTATTTATGGGGGGGAAAAACACAAGCTGCTATACAAAATTCAAAACATAAAAGAGACTGGATATATACAGTAAATGATAGAATCGTTGGGCAATGGAGATCATTTGTTAAATAGTCTTCCTGAATATAGAACAAAAAGACAAAGAGAAGCAAAAATCAGAGAGCAAACATAAGAACATCAGAAGATCAATCCTTATGATACAAATCTGAATAAAAGGAGTCCCAGAAAGAGAAGGGAAGAAAAAATATCAAAGAAATAATATAAAAACATTTTCTAGAACTGAAAGGCCTATTGTTTCCCAGCACAGTGTATGAAAAAAGATCCATGCTAAGAGAAATATGAGAAAATTTTTGAACACAGAAATTAAAGAGGGCATTCTAAATTCTTGGGGTCAAGTGTAAAGGTGTGGGGTGGTGGGGAAACAGGTTGTGTACAAAACTGAAATTAGAATGACATCAGCTTCTCAGCAAGTGGCATAGTGTTTAAGAGCTATGGCTGCTAACCAAAAGGTCAGCAGTTCGAATCCACCAGCCACTGCTTGGAAACCCTGTGGAGCAGTTCTACTCTGTCCTATAAGGTCACTAAGAGTTGGAATCCACTGAATGGTAACAAGTTTGTTTGTTTGTTTTTGGTATCCTGGAAGTTTGCAAACAGTGGGGCAACATCCTCAAAATTCTGAAGCAAATTATTTTCAACCAAGAGTTTTATAACCATCCATCAGGTATGCATGAAGTTTGGCTAATATTTTCAAACACACAAAACTCAAAATTTTACTTTGCATCTGTCTTCAAGAAGCTAGTAGAAGATATGCTTCAGCCAAATGGCAGACTAAACTCAGAAAGAAACTATGAGACCTCGGAAGCTGAGATTCTACACAGGTGGGTAGTCAAAGGAATGCTCCAGGATGACAGTGAAGCAAAACTCCAGGACAAGAAGCCCAGGAAGGATATCTCTAAAAACCAAAAACCTTGGAATTGCTAGAAACTATTGAGTTTTACTGTATTGAGAGGAGTAGCAGAACTCCAGTAGGGTTTGATGAAAGATTAGCAAAAGTAGTATAAAAATCTAATAAACAAATATAAAAATCTAATAAGCAAATGGAAAAAATCCTGAGATTTTTAATCTCAGGGAAAACAAGAAAATTTTAAAGAGAAAAAAATGTGATAAATGTACATTATGTGGGTCAGCAGTGAATACTATTTTCCTAATTATAATAATGTAAATGTTTAATTATTATTTAACCAAGAATTGTTGTATAATGATATCGGGAACATGGAGGACATGGTTGGGGGATGCTGGTGAAGTATGGTACACAGATGTCTTGGCTGTAGCACTGCAAGAGAAGAAAGCTAAAATTCTCATCTCCCTTTACAGAAAGCCAACAGATACTGTCTACAATCAAAGTTATCAAGGTAGAACAGAGCACGAACGTTATTTTAAAATATAGAGGAAAGAACCAGAAGAAACCATAAAAAGAGTTTAAAAAGATTTCCACTAGAAATTAGAAACTGGCAAGGACAAAAGAATGCTGGTTTTCATCATTAATTCTTAAAAAAAAACTTTAAAAAATACAGACATGCATTATATTAACAAAAATAATAATAAATTATAAAGGAAATAATTGTATAACATACACATTTATGCCAACAATACTTTGGTCTAAATATTTCAGCATGCTTTGTGTAAAATTGATATGGGCCTGAAAAAATTTTAACTCAATTCAACTCTGCATAAGTATAGACTATAAAAACCATTTTTCTCCTCTCCATAGTTAACCATTTCCCCAAGATTTTGGGCACTGGCATTTTAGCATTATACTTTAATCCCCCAGGGTAATGGAGCATCCACCTGAATTAGTGATATCACCAATAGAACTACATGAGTTAGTTATATCAAAGTCTTATATCCATATTTCTTCAAGCTTGGATTTTGGAATTGATAAACCCCAGAGGGACTGCTAGTGATTCAACATGCTCCAAACTCTGGTCTCAGGACAGTGGGTGTGGTGACAAGGACCATCATGCAAGAGGAATGTCAAATACACCAGTCAAAAGTCTTTTGGGAATACAGAGATCAGTTGTGTGGCAGAAAAGTTCATATATGGTGATTTATAAGCTTCTCTCAACATGATTTCATTTTTAATGGATATTTTATTTCAATAAAATAATCAAGTTCAGAATTTTAAAGTGGCAAACACAATGAAAAAAATAAGCCAAGTAACACTCATGCAAGAAGAGATTTCCTTCCTTTTCTTTCCCCTCAGAAATAGTTTGGTGTTTCCATACCTCTCTGTAGCCATCAGTGATGTTTTCCAAGCTGAGAGAATACACAAGGTCCCTGCCTCCCAGGAAGAGTCGCTCTTGATATTCATCCAGCAACATTGTACGCAGATTAAGAAATCCAAAAGGACTGTGAAAGATTGATGTTCTGTTTAGATCCAAGAGCTCTGAAACGCAAAGTGAAATGTACACTAAATACGAGACAGTGCAAATATCTTTATAACTTTTTTATAGTTTAAGTTTCATTCTTATTGGAACATAAACACTTTAAGAATTATTTTTGAAAAAGATTAAAAATACGGGTACAACTAGTAACAAATTTTAGTGTACACAACTTAAAATCTTGTAGATGTTTATGGATCTAAACACTTCAGTTATGTAAGATAAATGTGCAATTTATCTTGTAAATGTAAGCTATGTAAGATAAATGTAATACGTAAGATGATATAATTATCTTACATGTAAGATATTATATGTAAGATAAATATCCTATGTTTTTAAATACGTAAGATAACTGTTTTATGATTTTAGAGATATTTTTAAAGATGAAAAAGACATACCATTCACAATTGTTAAAGCAAAGTGCTATTTGGAAAAGTCACTTTACAGCTCTTCTAGGTATAACTAACAAAAATCCTCAAGTCTACATTAAACTCTCCAAAAGTGTGCCCATTTAATTCCAGAAAAACCCCAAGGCAGAAAAAAATGTTCCTACTTTAAATTGGTTTGAAAGTCACATCCAAAATCAAATTGTCCCAGTCTGGAAACTATCAGGGTTGTTGATAATACAATGTAACACGTGGTAACATTCAGTACAGTGGGGATCACTGATAAAACGGGTGATTTTGTCTAGTGTTCATGCATTTAATTTTAAAAAGTCAGAATTTGGCAAACCTTGTGTGTGTGTGTGTGTGTGTGTGTGTGTGTATGTATGTATGTGTTTTAATTTGTTTGATGTGGGTATTTCACTGTATATGCCAGTTCAGTACTTATGATTGGTAGTATCATATATGAGAGCTTTTGATTATGAGAGAGAATATTACTTCCAAGTCTAAATCCTGAAGGCCAAAGAATTTCTAAACAGGCCCGGTGGAAAATGTAGACAAGTTAAGAGATAGCTTTATTGTCCAAAGGTCAATATCTAATGCATTTGACAGAGAATATAGAACCTTAGTAACCAGGACACTAAAACCCAGGCAACAAAATGAAGGATGACAAATCTAGAGCATTTATAAACACTCTCAGGACTCTATTTCTGAGAAAGAGATAAAGTATATTTTTCCATCTTTTAAAAGTGTATTCCTTGTCTATATCTCCACTCTAAAACCATTTGATGCTCAAAATTTTGTAGAGTAGGCCTAAATTTCAAGATAAAGTATTATAAAATAACACGTGCAAAGACCTGGAATTAGAAAACCAAAAAAGGGAGAACACACTCAGCATTTCTCAAGCTGAAAGAACTGAAGAAAAAATTCAGGCCTCAAGTTGCAATATTGAAGGGCTCTATGGACAAAAAACTGAATGACACAGGAAGCATCAAAAGAAGATGGAAGGAATACACAGAGTCACAGTACCAAAAAGAATTGGTCGACTCTCATCCATTTCAGGAGGTAGCCTACGGTCAAGAAGCTATGGTACTGAAGAAAGAAGTCCAAGCTGCACTGAAGGCATTGGTGAAAAACAAGTCTCCAGAAACTGACAGAAAACCAACTGAGATGTTTCAACAAACGGACGCAATACTGGAAGCGCTCACTAGTCGATGCCAAGAAATTTGGAAGACAGCTACCTGGCCAACCAAAGAAAGGCGATCCAACAGAATGTAGAAATTGTCGAACAATATCATGAATGTCACACGCAAGTGAAATTGTACTGAAGATAATTCAAAAACTTGCAGCAATACATCGACGGGGAACTGCCAGAAATTCAAGCTAGATTCAGAAGAGGACGTGGAATGAGGGATATCATTGCTGATGTCAGATGGATATTGGCTGAAAGCAGAGAATACCAGAAAGATGTTTACCTGTGTTTTATTGACAATGCAAAGGCATTCAACTGTGTGGATCATAACAAATTATGGACAACATTGCAAAGAATGGGAATTCCAGAATACTTAATTGTGCTATTGAGGAACCTGTACATAGACCAAGAGGCAGTTGTTCAAACAGAACAATGAGGATACTGCATGGTTTAAAATCAGGAAAGGTGTGTGTCAGGGATGATTCCTTTCACCATATTTATACAATCTGTACACAGAGCAAATAATTCGAGAAACTGGAGTATCTAAAGAAGAGCGCCACATCAGGATTGGAGGAAGACGTATTAACAACCTGCCATATGCAGATGACACAACTTTGCCTGCTAAAGTGAAGAGGACTTGAAACACTTACTGATGAAGATCAAAGACTACAGCCTTCAGTATGGATAACACCTCAGCATAAAGAAAGCAAAAATCCTCACAACTGGACCAATAAGCAACATCAGAATAAACAGAGAAGACTGACGTTGTCAAGGATTTCATTTTACAGTCACGCACCGCATAATGTTCATTCGGGCAATATCCCACCGCATATCCGTCCGTGGTCTCTGAGTGTCTTCAGTGTTGTAGCATTATCTCTGTTTAATTTTCTTCAGAAAATATTATGGTGAAGTGCATCATGGCTCCCAAACGCAGCAAAATCAGTGCTAGTGATAGCAGCAGCAAGAGGCAATGGAGAAGTATCAACTTGGAAGTGAAACAAAGGTTATCAAACAATATGAAGGAGGAAAATCAGTGAATGCTATTGCTCGTGATTCAGGTACGTCTCACTTGACAACCACTATGATCCTCAAAAACAAAGAAAAAAATTCTCCAAGCTATTAAAGGATGGGCTCCACTGAAAGTTATAAGGCTAACGAAAATGTGAGAGGGACCCATATCAGATATGGAGAAATAGCTAATGACATGGATTGAGGACAAAACACAAAGGCGAATCTCTCTCAGCGCTTTGATGATCACTACGAAGGCACGACGAGCGCTGGTGGCACAGTGGTCAAGCGTTCGGCTGCTAACCGAAAGCAAGGCAGGAAGGCACTTTGAATCCACCAGCTGCTCCTTGGACACCCTACAGGGCGGTTCTACTCTGCCTTATAGGGTTGTTATGAATTAGAATCGACTCAACGGCAATAGGTACTAAGGCACGAAGCTTGTTCACACAACATCCAGATCAGGTAATGTCTTATTTCACAGACATATTGTGGATGTTAAGGGACGCATGACTGCACTTGGATCTACAATCAACACCCGTGGAAAATCAAACTACATATGGCATTGGGCAAATCTGCTGAAAAAGACCTCTTTCAACTGTTAAAAAGCAAAGACGTAATTCTGAGGACTAAGGTGCTCCTAACCCAAACCATGGTATTTTCAGTCGCCTCGTATGCATGCAAAAGCTGGGCAATGAATAAGGAAGACCAAAGATGAATTGATGCATTTGAATCATGGTGTTGGTAAAGAATATTGAATATGCCGTGGGCTGCCAGAAGAACGAACAAATTTGTCTTGGAGGAAGTAGAGCCAGAATGCTCCTTAGAAGCGTGGATGGAGAGAATTTGTCTCATGTACTTTGGACATGCTATCAGGAGGGACCAGTCCCTAGAGAAGGACATCATGCTCGGTAAAGTAGAGGGTCAGCGAAAAAGAGGAAGACCCTCAATGAGATGGACTAACACTGTGGCCGCAACAATGGGCTCAAGCAACATAGCAACAACTGTGAGGATGGTGCAAGACTGGGCAGTATTTCGTTCTATTGTGCGTAGGGTCGCTGTGAGTCTGAAATGACTCGGCACCTAACAACAACAACAGGGCTCAATTTAAATCATTAGTTTAAAATAAGCAATACGACTAAAATTACAGAATTTCTTATAAAGGTAAAACTTTGAGACATAGAGTCATTTGACTATTTACGTAAATAAATAATCAGAAACAAGTTTTGAGGGAGAGATGAGACTCAAGGCATGATGGGTGTTTTATTTGGGGAAGAAGAAAATGAGATTTGAGAGATCAGAGGATCTTGGATCCTGGAAGACAAATTTTTCCTATTTAATAATTTTGTCAAGTTGAAATCTAATATCATAACAAAAATATAGATCAAAGCTGTCCACCAACACTGTACGTTATCATTATATATAAGCACTTATGGTTTTATATCAGGGCTGCTAAGTGGAGTCTTTTCCAAAAAATGTTCCTCGTTTATTCTGATAGGTTGCTAAAACTTCTCAAATTTTATGTACATTGAAATCATTATTTGAAAAGGAGTAACTGGTCAAAAAAAAAAGGGGTGGGGGGACGCGGTTATGTATTAGCTACAATTAATAGGTCTCTCACCCACAAAGTTTCAAAACACATTAAGGTTCCGAGCCTGGGAGATCAAGTTGGGTATGAATAACAGAAAGTCAGGAAAGGATTCAAATATAAAGATCCTATTCTAAAGTATGCAAAAATAGAAAAACGTTTATATTAGAATGAGAGTCAGCCCAAAGTGTAAAGGAGTTGCTCCATAAATGTATTCCAACTAGGGATGACCTTGCTTACCCCCGCCCCATAAGGTCATTAGCACTTCATTACTTCTGTAGACAAATGACAAGAGGGACACTATTTTCTCCTTGTTTTTATGACTTGTCAATTTCTGCTAGGCACTATAGTTCTAATAATCTAAAGGTGGCTGTTCCTATTTCTTTGTCAATAACAGTACAGTCTAGTTTCTAAATTATCGATCTTATTTTATTCTGATGTATCAGCTTCTAGTCTGACCCAGCCTTCCGTTTACATGGCCACGTCTATTCTATGAAATCACAAAGATGTGACCGAAAGTGTTTCTGTGGACACATAGTTTGGAAAGAGCAAAGGGAAAGAATTAAAGTGTACATTCAGCCAATGCAAATTTTTTAAATGTGCATTTTAAGTGGCTTTTATATTTACCATTTTTTTCCAAAATAGTAAACAACTATAGTTTAACAGTTTAAATTATAATTGCTCTTTTTTTTACTGAGGGAGAAACCGAGGTGCCAAAATATTAAATGACTATCCTACCAACACACTATTACGATGAAAAATCACCCAAATTACCTATGAAAAACATGAGAATTAAAATACAATAGATGTGTATGGATACAGAATGTCCCAT